CTTTCCATGCCCTTTTACACCTCCCTTTCTTCAGATGTTCAATACTTTTTCCCTGTGTCATTTCATTTTATTGCACAACTTCATTTGTAAACTAATTAGATTTGTTTTCTTTGCATATATAGATTTTTGTGCATGCTATCAACATCCGAAGAAAATTTCAAAGTCAACAACACCTTTATAAATATGTTTTCTGAGAAAAATGGTGACGTTTTCAATACTAATTTTCCCCGCTGTTTATAGTTGGGCATGTACTGCAAATAATTGTCTGATTGTAAATTATTTTCATGTTATGACAGATAACCAATAGATTGCTTATACTGAAATCTTAAAATTATTGTTTAATCGCTACAAAACTGTAGAGTCATCATAGCATCATAATGCACTTAAATTGATAAAACAGTGTTATTAGATTATCCTTAAAAAGATTAGCATTTGGTGTGCTTTAAATGCTTAATCATTGTTTCTCAAGTGTACAGCAGTGCAGTAATGACTTATTTCTCTATTCCTAGCTCTCCATCTCCGTGATTATGAGGACATTATCCCTGCTGTGGAGATTTACTCTCTGTTAGCCATCTGCTCTTCTGCCAACGGCGCGTTTGGTACGTGCTCACGCGCCTTCATTAAGCTGGAGTCTCTGGAAACACTGACTCCAGATCAGAGGCAGCTTTATGAAGACCTGGCCTTGGAGATCTTCACCAAACACAGTCCCAGAGACACCCGGCAAAGCCAGCGAGACAGCCTTACTGAAGGGTAAGACAGGGGTGCATAGACCAGATGTGCTGCATAACTGTACAACCACTGGAAACATTAACAGTTACTGAGGCGGATCTTCTGTTGCGGCTGTGAGGTCACAGTGACGCGAGTGTAAAATAGTGTGAGATTAGTGGCGTGTGAATTACGAAGTGTATGACGTAGACGGATATTACTGTGGGTGTGTCTGGTTTACATTTCCAGACCATTTCAATCATTACGTCAGTGTGCTGTAGTAAAACAGTGGGATGGTTAGTTATTGTCTGCTACTGTTAAAACATTTGGATAGGAGAGGTTCTAGACCAGAGTAACTGGGGGACCGGGCAGGGGCCACTTGTACCTTTAGGGGGCACACTTTAACATATATCACAGATTACTTAAACAGTTGTTCAAAGTCATTTTTTTCATGCATCACTCTGCAGTCTTTATGAACAAGCTAATTAAATAAGTAAATGTATTTGACAAGTAACTTTGTATTGTAGTAGGATAACACATTTTTGCACCTGTAAACTTTAACAGATACAGATGAAGTTATTTTTTTTTTGTTTTTTTGCCCTACCATTAATTAAAAATATTATTTCCCAGATGATCTTTAACAAACCAAGAAAAATATCAGTGTTTCCTATAAAACAAAAATAATTCTTCTAGAGTCCTTATAAGTCTTATTTCTTATAGTTTTTCTTCAATAAAAAGTTTTTAATAAAAAAAAACAAAACATTTTTTTAAGGTTAATTTTATTATCCTCCTTAGGATTTTTTTTAAAGTCTACACAATAAACCAGTTATACAATAACTTGACTAATTATTCTAACTTTCCTAGTTAACATAACCTAATTAAGTTACTTTATTATGAATACAAATACAGTTGCAATCAGAATTATCAACCCCCCTGAATTATTAGACCCCCTGTTTATTTTTCCCCCAATTTTTGTTTCAGAGATTGAAGATTGTTTTTAACAAATTTCTAAACAGAATAGTTTTAATAACCTATCTCTAATAACTGATTTATTTTAACTTTGCCATGATGACAATAAATAATATTTTACTAGATATTTTTCAAGACACAGCTCAAAGTGACATCTAAATGCTTAACTAGGTTAAATAGGTTAACTAGGCAGTTTTGGATAATTAGGGAAGTTATTGTATAATGATGGTCTGTTTTGTAGACTATCGAAAAAATATAGCCTAAAGGGGCTAATAATTTTGATCTTAAAATGTTTTTTTTTTTTAATTAAAAACTGCCTTTATTCTAGCTGAAATAAAACAAATAAGACTTTCTTGAGAAGAAAACATATTATCAGACATACTGTGAAAATTTCCTTGCTCTGTTAAACATAATTTGGGAAATATTAAAAAAGAAACAAAAATTCAAAGGGGGGCTAATAATTCTGATTGCAACTGTATTTTGCAAAATAACTAGTCAAATATTATGCTTTAACTGTCACCATGGGAAAGACAAAAAAGTAGTTATTAGAAATGAGTTCATCTATTATGTTTAAAAATGTGTTTGAAGACTCGTGCTTTATATGACAACTGAAAACAAAAATAAATGAAGGCAAAACTTTATGAGTTGAATATTACTTTTACATGAGCGTGACTGAAAACTGAATTTTATCAGCGTGTTACATCTGTTCTGCGGTACTTGCCGACTGTTTGTAAATTCAAGACTGCATTTCCTAACGTAAAACTGTGTACACTCAATTTCTGATTAATAATAGTCTATGCATAGCTGAGGACTTCCTTTGTTAAAAGTTTTAAAATCGCTATTGAAAACAAGTCTAATATAATCAACAGAGGACATTTTGATAGTTCTTCATAACATGGACATGACTGAAGTTGAACCTTTCTTTACCTGTGTCAATTTGTGGCTTAATTTCTGACGAATCTGGGAAACTGATGCGCGCAGCACCGTCATTGACTAAAGTCAAGAAAAAGGAGAGAGAGTTAGTGCACATGACACAGAGAGTGCGAGTAAGGCCTTAGTTATATCTCCACAGTCTACCACTGATGGCTGATCTCGCTTCTCCATGGCGTTTTAGTTGTGACAAAAATTCATGCCTAAAGTTAGGCCTGAGGGTGCGCAAAGCTTGTTGACACGAGGGCATCCCCCTCAGTCTTCAGATCACATAATCCTTAGGAAATCAGTCTAATATGCTATTTTCTTGTAATTGTTTTTTATTATTTTCATTGTTAAAAAATATGTTAATTATGATATTTTTAAGTATTTTTTGATTTACAGTTAATTTTAAAGCATCATATTTTTTTTCATTTTATTTTAGTGATTTAATTATTTGCAATGTTAAATCTTATAAAGAAAGGAACCAACACTCATCACACAAATTTTCATGATAAAATTTTCTATGAATTACATCTAAATGCCATGTTTTACTTGTGTTTATGTTTACGACAAATCTTTTGTTCTTATTTTAGCTGTGTTTGATTCACAACAGAGTAATAATTCAAAATAATTATTTATTTTATTTATATTTACCCTTTACTGGGTTAAAATTCGGCCTAAATAATTCATAATGATTAATATAATTATTATTTTATTAATTAATTTATAATTTAAAATAATTTAATTAATTAATAATTAATAATGATTAATTATTTAGTGATTTAGTCATAACATGCTACTTGAAGACTCAGTTCATGCAAAAATTTAAATTCTGTTATTAAGTGCTCACTCTTGTTACATTCTAAACCGCTCATCATCGTAATACAAATAAAGATATTTTAGATGAAATCTGAGAGCTCCCTCAGGATGATCGACGGTCTCAGTTGATTGGAGCAACATGAGAGTGAGCAATAAATAAAGGAGTTTTCATTTTTGGGTGAACTAATCCTTTCAACCACCAGTTAAGAATAAGCACAAAACATATACTGTAAGTGAATATGCAAAATAACTCTTAGATATGTTAAACTAATATGCATTGTGTCTTGATGAGTGACTTTTTCTTTATTTGTCTTTTACTCTCTCTATATATCTCTTTCTCAGGCCAGAGGGCAAGTTGCCTACCTGTATAGTCACTGGAAGAGTGATTTCAGAGTACCAGTTCTGGATGTGCAGTGTGTGTAAACACTGTGCTCTGGAGCAGGAGATCACACAACAAAACTTCTGTCCCCTCTGTCACTCCACAGTGGGATAATATTTTCCAGTGGCATTCCCAATCTCAGCCCTCGCTCCATCAAATGTCAGTCTTTTTTATGTACTTTAGGATAAAAACTCTGCCTTTGGGTTAAAAGGGATAAAATGTTATTTGGATGGTCAAACAAATGAACATATTTTTATACTTTTCATTTCCTTTCAACAGCCTTTTCATATATTTATGTATGTAATAAAATGTATGTATGCATTTACTTGACATAATATTAAACAGTTCTTTTCAGCTGAAAATCATTTGTGAAGTAAATTCATTCATCTCTATTTGACAGTTTTCTAAACATTGTTTACCTGTTTGCAAAGTTTAACATTAATTACTTGGATAATGTAATGTTGTGTGTGTATCTTGTTATTTCCGCCAACAACAGAACAATTATACAACGGAACAATTTGCTTTACAATCTAAAATACATTTTCCACATTTATGAATGATGTAAGAAAATACATTTTATCTTTCAGACTTTCTGGTTCACTTGTGTCAGTCCTTTTGACTTTAAGTGGAGTATTTACACAATTTTATGAACCTGTCGAGAGAGATTCTGACATTTTTATATTCATAAGTTAATATTATTAATAATCGTGTCGTATGGCACGCAATGCTGTCCTCTACAGGCGGTTTCGAGGGCTAACGCTTCTGACAGAATGTTTTGTTACTTGTTAAATAGACCTGTATTTATAGGTTTTTCTCAAACGCCATTCTCTTTATTGCACTACAACGCTAGTAGTTGTTTTTCCTTTTTACGTAAGTAGCCTAATTTGGTATTAACAAACATAATAACACATTTTAAACCCGAGTTAGCATTACAGTGGCGTCTGCATGTGCTGTTTCCGCCCTCTAGAGGGCGTTGTCAGTCAATTCCTCTCTGCACGTGCCACAGGTGCTGCTCGAGGGAAAGAAGCACCTGCTTTAGCTGAGAAAAAAGTGCACGCATTGACAACTCGCTGTTTTAAGGTACACTTACTTCACACAATCTTTAAAGTTACTAAATATATTGTTGATGTTATTATTTTTGTCTGTAAAAATGTTTCAAAATATCATTACACATTTCTTGCTAATAAAACGAGAGCGATTTTACCTCAAACTTTTATTTTCACAACATTCAGCCGCCCTCTGTAGCTTTTCTCAGCAGTAACTCAGGGGATCTTTAATCTCAGTCTTTTATTAGTTTTCTAATCCTTTAACTGCCCTTCACGGGTGGTCGGAGTATCTGTACCCCTGCTTTCATCCTTCTGCCCTCTTATTATATTGTCTCTCTATCTTTGTCCCTCTCGTTTCACCTCTGACGCTTCAGGGGGAAAAGCCGCACCGTGGAGCTTGAGAGGCACGTCCTCAAACGCAAAGCGCAAGCGCGCACCAGTTGCCACGGGCCAGTGACGCACGGACGCGCAGCTGCCCCGAGGCAGAGCGAGTGCATTAGCGGCACACTTTGTGCCAAGTGTCCCACCCGATACAGTGCGCAGTGGGACATGGGGCAAATACTGCGAACGAGCGCACACCGGACTCGGCTTTATCAAGGAAGGCGCTGGAGGATGGCGATATCCACACCGAATGTCTTTGCAGTGCACTGATGCCATCACAAATTAAGGAGGTAAATGTGATATTTCTTCCATCTAGTTTGAAATGCACGATGTTGTTGTTGAACTTAACTTTGGTGCTGTCCTTGGTGCTGGAGTTCGACGAGACAGAGCGCACACGCTATTAGCCACAGCTTACCACGTCTTCAAGAAACTTTTGAACAAATACGTGATTCAGACATTTGATTGTTTACTATTGTGAGGTTGCTCTTCTAAAACTATTTCTTCTTTACGTTTTGTTGAATTACTTTTTTTCTGTACATCATGAGGTCCATAACTGAACCACGCAGAAAATATGAAGTTCATAATGTAATTCTAAATGAACTATAAATGTGCATTAAATAAGTGAATGACATGCAGAAGCAACATTTAAATGTATGCTCTAATAATATAATTTATATCATTTCACTCTTTGTAGATGCTTTTATTCATACTGAAACCCTTTAATCGTGAAGTGTTTTATTAAGAACTAAAATACTTTGAATTCAGGTTTATTTTGTTCAACTTATATAGTTTGTATTGAAAAATCTTATAGTGCTCAGCATACCTGAGTACACCCCATTTTAAAAATGAGTATTTTTATCAATTTCTCTGTGAAACAAAACGCATTTATCAAACATGTATATTTATTCAAATATTATTTTAGTCACAGAACATATGTAGAAATTAAAAGATAATACAAATAAATTCAAGCAAAATATTGCAAAAATGTAAACTATATATATATATATATATATATATATATATAATTTTTTTTTTTTTTGCTTCTCTTTATTTGTCCTATTTTTAAATGGGTATTTAATATTTTTCTATAACATATAAATTTAAGTGTTCAAGTTTTTGGATCGTTATCTTAAGTTATTTTGTTAGACAAGCTCCAGATTTGGCATCAGTACTGACTAATGTAATGTATATGCAAAAATATTATATTGTAGAGCTTCCTGTTAAAAATTCAAATTTAACAGAGAGATTTGTGAGGGGTGTACTTGTATATGCTGAGCACTGTATGTTATTTCACTCAAACTGATGTTGGCAATATATTGATAAATAATGATAATAAAGGGCCCACATTTTTATAAGAATACAAAGGGCGTCAATTTCTCTAGTGGTCTCAGACTTTTAGAACCCAGTGTGAAAGTTTCATCATTTCAGAACAAGAATTACCATTTTCTAACCCTTACAAAATCACAGCATGTCAAACTGCAATCACAACTGTCATGACTTCACTGAATGTCTTGAATTTCAGACCTGATTTTGAAGCTGAAGTGCCCTACAGTGCTGGAAAAGAAAGTCAGAGTTAGTGTTAAAATGCTCATAATGATCACTGAGGTTTTGTTTACGACACTGTACAAATCAATATCCATTAGAAGCTATAAAGGCTGATTTAGGCTCTAGAATGCTTTTATCCCATCACAGTTGTTACAGTTAGATGCAGAATATAATAGATTAGCTGTCTGTCTGTCTGTCTGCATATTCAAATCTGATTAAGTTTTTGTCTGGTCAGTCATGCAATTGAAGACGTAATAAAGATGTTTTTTTTTCAATGGCAACAGGTCAGCTTTTAAAGTCCTTAAAGTGCTAATCAGACTTCTCATTTTCCTTCATTGTAGGCATGGAGCCATAGCTGATCACTCACATTCTCTCTCTCCAAACCTGCTTAGCCCAACAGTCCCAATTACTCCTTCATGTTCTGGCATCCATCATGGTGTACGGGCAGTTCCTGCACCGCCGAGGCCCCGAGGAGAGCTTCATCAACCTCAACGTCGGTGGTTTTAAGCAGCAAGTGGAACGGGTGGTCCTCCAACGCTTCCCCCACACACGACTGGCCCGGCTGCTCTACTGCAGCTCAGAGGCCGCTATTCTCCAGCTTTGTGATGACTACGCTGCAGCGGACCGAGAGTATTACTTCGACCGCAATCCATGCTTTTTCCGCTACGTGCTGAACTTTTATCATACCGGAAAGATCCACTTGATGGAGGAGCTGTGTGTGTTTAGCTTTAGCCAGGAGTTGGAATACTGGGGTATCAAGGAGCTTCACCTGGACACTTGCTGCAGCAACCGATTTCAGGAACAGAAAGAGAACATGGGAGATCCCGACTGGGGGAATGAGGATGACCCTCAGAACCAGCTGCAGGACAGCTTAGACTCATCCATGGAGGAACTGTCAGCATTTGACAAAGACTTGGAAAAGTTTGAGGGCACCTGGTGCGCAGAAAAACGCAAGGAGCTCTGGTTGCGGCTGGAAAACCCTGGATACTCACGCTCTGCGAAAATTCTGGCGGTGTTTTCGCTGAGTGTTGTACTGATAAGCATCATCGCCATGTGCATCCATAGCATGCCTGAATTCCACCAGAAGGACGCCAATGAGAAAGAGGTGGAGAACCCGGTGTTGGATGTGTTTGAGACTTTTTGCGTTCTCTGGTTCTCCCTCGAATTCATTGTACGATTAGTTGTCACACCGTGCTTGCGCAAATTTATATGCAATGCATTAAACATGATTGACTTTGCTTCTATCGTTCCATTTTATGCCACGCTGGCATTTGAAAAAGTGGATCCTGAGGAAAGCGAGGAGCTTGAGAATGTGGGAAGGGTGGTGCAGATCCTGCGTCTCATGCGTATCTTTCGCATCCTCAAACTTGCCCGCCATTCAGTCGGGTTGCGTTCTCTTGGTGCGACTCTCCGACACAGCTATCACGAGGTCGGACTCCTCATCCTCTTCCTCTCCGTGGGAATCTCCATTTTTTCAGTTCTTATTTATTTTGTGGAGAGGGAGGACCACGAGTCGGAACTGCAGACTATACCGGTGGGCTGGTGGTGGGCGACGATAAGCATGACCACAGTGGGATACGGTGACACGTATCCAGTCACGCTTCCTGGGAAGCTCATCGGCACATTGTGCATCATTTGCGGCCTGCTTGTAGTCGCCCTTCCTATCTCCATCATCTTTAACAAGTTCTCCAAATACTACCAGAGACAGAAAGCCCTGGTGGAGTCTGACCAGCTCCAGACAGAGGACGAAAAACAGCCAGATCTCAGCATGCCTTTTCTTCATATAGCAGACCTCTACAGCCAAAAGATGAACTCTCTGGCGCACAGCGCATCCTCCAGGAGTAGCGAAGGAGACGCCACTGATGCTTCCAGTATTGCTGATGTTGAATTCGTCTGCTCTGCTGGACAGCCAAAAGCCAACAATGTGACGTAAACCTGAAGATGCACAACCTCAAATAAAGGAACAAGAATCTGCAGCACATATCGAGGAAACCATAAGACTCTTGTTTCTTACTGAGTGACTCCTGGACCTTTAATCGGCAGCACTTTTTCTCTTTAGTTCTCAGGGTGAAAAATGTCTCAAGCTTTCTGTTATTTTTATGAATCAAAACCTGTTATGGAAACCATCTTAAAGGGAGAGTCCACCCAAACCCGATGATTCTGTCATCATTTGCTCACTTTCCGCTTGTTCCAAACCCGTTTGAGTTCTGTTAATCGCAAAATAATAAATTTTTGAAGAAAGTTTAAAACCTTTAGCCATTGACTTGCATAGTATTGTTTTCCTACTATTAATGTCAATGGCTACCAGATCACTACCACTACACTGTAAAACCCAGCAGTCAACTTTATCAAATAAAATGAGTGTAGTTAACTCAAAATTGACTGAAAGCTAATTCTACTCATTTAAAAAAAGTTTTGAACTCGGTGTGGAAGGTAATGAGTTAATTAAATACCTCATTACTTCAACTTAAATGGAGTAAGTTCACAGTACTTATATAGATCAGTTTTTTTAACTCAAATAGTTTGTAGCAATCGGTTTCCTCGAGTGATTTAAGTTTCTTTAACTTATTGGGTTTTACAGTTCTCAGTTGGCTTGAGTTCTCTTTATTTATTGGGTTTTACTTTACTCAAATTGCTTCGTTTACTCAAATGGATTAAGTTTACAGTACTCATTAGTTATAGTTTTTGAACTGAAATGGCTTGTTGCAATCGGTTTCCTCAAAAGGTTTGAGTTACCTTAACTTTTTGGGTTTACAGTGTATGAACATTCCTCAAAATGAATCTCATAAAGGCTTGAAACCATTGAAAGTGAGTAAACGGTGAGTTATTTGTCATTTTGGGGTTAACTATCCCTTTAACAACAGGCCAGTGCTAGCAGTAATGTAAATGTACAAGAGCTAATAGCACTGATTGACAGGTGTTTTTTTTAATCCTTTAGACAAGCTGTTCATTTAATTAAGTCTTTTTGCAGTGCCTGTGGGGAAAAGAACTATGCGTAAATGTTTTATAGACAATGACAGCATCTAAAATGCTGGACTTCAGATGGCATGTTGGTGTACTCCATCCTCCCTAATGTGTCCATCAGAGAGGGGAGGATGGAAAGATTGCATGCATATTTCAACGAGAGGGACGAGAGGCCGCAAGAGAAAGAAGGAGATGAAAAAAGCAGGGAAGACATGTTCCCGTTAAATAAAAGTGTTGATGTACAGCATATTTGAGTCTCTGCTCTTTATTATGCAGTCACTGCATGGGTCTGGAAAGATATCTTAAAAGTATAATCCACACAGAAATTACATCAGGCTGCAAAAATGAATTTAAAGGGACAGTTCACCTTGATATTTTAATTTGCTATTAATTTACTCATCCTCAGGCCATTTAAACCATCCTTTTTTATTCTTTAGAACATTAAGGAAGATTTGTAGCTGAAACTGTGGTCCTTTGTGATTTATGAAAGTCAACTTAGTAGCTACTGGCTCTTTGAGACTAAATTAAATTAATACCTGTGACTTTTGCTCATACATTGAGGTCTTACAGAGTGCAGAAGATTGTTATTTTTTTTTACAACATTATTACTTTAATTCATAGCCTTTGTCAATAGTCATAGATCATTGTATAATGATGCAAGCTCAGGACTGTTTGCAGAGGCTGTGGATTAATGTAACAATGTTGTTATTCAGCTTTGCACTGACCAATCATTTGCCTTCATAAGACCTCAGTGTTTATGAATCACAAGGACAACAGTTTCAGCTGTTCTGCTTAAGAAAAAAGTCACCTACTACCTGGGAGCTCTAAAGGTGGGTAAAAAAAACAGCAAATAAAAATTTTGAGGTAAATTATCCCTTTAACTTCTTAAAGTCAAGGGCTATTTTGGGGTTTCAGCCTGGATTTTGCCTTACCAAATCCACATGCAGAGGTGTAAATGCAAAGGTTTGGTATTGTTTTAAAAAAAAACTTTGAATTTTCATAAAACACTATTGAAAGTGATTAAAATAATTGTATTTGTTGTCTGTGTAATAATAATGTGGTCTAGCTTGCTGTAATTAACTTTGGTCGTCCCTGTACATGTCAGTAATCAGGAAATTTCTTTGCAAAAGTTAATTTATTCCAACTGATAAAATAACAGAACCACTTATTAGAGTATTAGGCAAGTATGGACCTTTAAAATTTGAAGAATGCAAAAGTAAATGACACCACAGACCCAGTACCAGAGCTTAATAAACATCAAAAACTGCAACAAAAGTAGTATTTATGACTAGTGCACTTCCTTGGGCTTATTCCCTGCTTTTTCAGTGGTTGCCACAGTGGAATGAACCAGCTCTTTACTCTAGCATATGTTTTCATAGGACAACCACTAGCATTGGTAAACACTCTTACATTCTCCCATTCACACACTATACCCAATTTGTTTCTCCAATTCACCTATACCGTATGTCTTTGGACAGTGGGGGAAACCAGAACACCAGGAAGAAACCTAAATGAACGGATCCCATAGAGAAACATGCAAACTCCACATAGACAGGTCTCCTTCAACCAGTGACCTTCTTGCTGTGAGGCGACAGTGCCAACCACTAAGCCACCACAATATTTTTTGAAAATCTGTTGCATAACTGACACCAGTTGAACCCTCATTTGTGAATGAGTCAGTCATATTTCTATACAAACCAGTTTACATTTTTATAAATTACATATTAAAGTTTAACACAACAATTTGATTTGACTCTTGAGTGACTCAACATTTCAGAAAAATACCTGCAAGAATATTCCTCAAATATTGGTAAAACTTTACAATAACAGTACATACAATGTACCCTTTAAAGTATTTGAAAACTACTTCATTATAATATAAATGATAACATAATATGAATTATGTAAATTAGGTAAAGTCATGACATAATGATAAGTCAAGAGTTCATATTGATTACATTTATAGCTTAAACTAAAGTGTTAATTAATACATAAACGTTTTAGCTGAAGCTAAATGTATCCAATATGAACTCATGACTCATCTTTGTCATTATTTTACTTGGATGAGCACATTATTAATAACTCTTTCTAGCAACCCAGGTTCATTCTGATTATATACCTTTATACACATTTCTTGGGAGAGCAAAATACGTCCCAGGAGCTACGTTTTTTTTTTTTTCAGTTTTTGTTTTTGCAGAAGATGCTGTGTACAGTTTTTTAGATCTCAAATTTCTCTTCAGCTACTGTTCTCACATAAATCCACCAGAGGACACTATCGAATGACTGACTGACCCGCCCTCCTCTTTTCCTAATCCCAACCAATAATGTTTTCAAAAGCACCGATTGACCCGCCCACCCACCTCCCTACATCCAACATTGTTTTAAAAAGCAAAAAAGATTTTACAACATTCTCACCCTGTTACTTACTTGTTTATTTATTTTTTTTTACCTTTTGTTTTTGACTAAACTGCTTTCTGGAACCCATCTTCATCGGACTCGAACCCTGTTGTCGTGATCACGTCCGCTCTGCATCTCAAGTCCTCCGATTTACATGTCAAGCTACCAGACAAACTAGGTACGGCGAGAAAGCCATCCAAACGGAGATTATCGGTCAGCTGGTAAGCAAGAAAAGAAACGGCATCATACCGCCCTGTAGCGTTCGTTTTAAAGATAAAATGCAGCCATACATACTTCTGGCTACATAATTCGCCATCTCCTGAAATGTACAGTATATAGGGCTACGTTTTCAGAATAAACCTATGTTGCCATCTTAACTACTCAGGACCTCCTGTGTTTAAACTGTCCATTTTGATGAAAATTAAAAAGCAATTAAAAGTGTTCTATGTAAACACACACTAGATACATAAATGTTACTTTTAAAAACAGGGGTTTATGGGTAGTTAGGAATGAGTAAATGATAATGTGCCCCACCAAGTAAAGCTATAAAGATACGTTAACAGGTTCATGTAGTTACATCATGTACTTAAATTTCAAAATACATTAATTAACAAACGCACTAACAAGTTATTAAGGTAGAAGTCATGACTCATATTAAAGTTAGTTCTTGATAAGCTTATGCCTTAACTCATCATTATTTCATACTGAAGTGACATTTAATTACATATACATATACATATACATATACATACATATCAATACATCATTATTCATGTAATGTTATTGTAAAGTGCATTTTTCGAAAGCTTTCTTCAGGCTATCTTCTTTTGTGTTCAACAGAAGAAAGTAACTCAAACATGTTTGGAACAAGTGAAGAGTGAGAAAACGATTTCAGATCCCTTTAATCCTTTTAATCAACTGCTTATTTTCTGACCTTCTAATGAGCAGTTCTTAATGCATTATTGCTTAAGTGCGTTATCAATAATCCCTTATGAGTTCAAGTTCACCTGTCCTCTACACAGAGGGAACGTGTTCCCTCTCCATTGTTCTGTCTCTCTCATTTTTTAGAGTGACTTATGTCAGTAGGCTGTATTAGAGGCAGGATGAGAGATCCAAATGTTAGGGCTGTCTGCCATGGAGGATGTATTACTGCTGAAACGGCATCCGTTTGGCAAGTGGCTTTAACTTGGATAGATCGGCCTCTGTTTGAGACGTGGCCATTGATCAATGTGTCACGCTTGTGTGCTCAAGTGTTTAAGGGCTGACCTGAATGCCTCATGACTTACACCAATGCTGCAGCTGACCCTTTTCAGCTCCAGCAAACTCTGAGTATTGGTTATTAAAAAATGGGGAACTTGAAAAATGCATTTTACTTACATTTATGCTGGCATATTTAGAGATTGTGATAGTTGTGAGTTCTTTAAAATACAGAAAGATGCTAATTATTATTTGCTAGTAGGCAGAATGAAACCATTTAAAGAACTAATTTACTTTAAGAGATTGATTCTATATTATGTTGTATACAGTGGCGGCATGACTCCTCTCCCTCCCCTTCTCCCGAAATATGAGGCCACCACAAAGAGTCATATTTCTTGCTCAAACATTAGATTTGAACAGCTTGCACAAATCTGAGCATCTTGTTTGCAAAAAATATATATGCAATCCCAGCACTGTTCCTCTAGTATTATCAATGCTCTGCTCTGCTAAAATATGAGCTGGTGGTTTAGGATGTGGGCTTTAACCCAAGGGAAAGCAAAACCCACAAAGTGGTGAGTTCCCACTTCTCTGAGTACAGCACTTAAGATTGAAGCACTTCAGACGTGAGGTATGCAATTTATGCATCATTGGCTCCAGACAGAATCCAAAAAAAAAATATATATTTTTAATTTTTAATTAAAAAAAAAAACTTTGGCGTTGGTGTTTGTTCCTTAA